AAATTTGCTGTCCTTGCTGAGGTTCAACTGGTTTTCATTAATAAATGCTCCTCTTGTTCAAGCCTTTGGTTAGTTCCAAGTTTTAAATGTGTTGATTGGGGCAATTTTTGTTTTTATGGAAGAACAGATTTTCAGGAGTCCTTATTTTACCACTCCAGAAGGGTTTCCTCCATACACATTAATTTCTGTACTGTCTTAAGATAATAGCATATTTAGAACCTGCTGAAGAACATTTAATTTTAGCCTAGAGTGCCATCTTTTTTTCTTGCCATGTCGCTAATAAATGTTGGCTCTGTGGGTCTTCTTAGAACAGAAATTCTCCTCTTGCTACTATGTCACTTCTAATATGCTGTGTGGTTGGTAATCAATAGCCCAACTGGTTAATATGTTAGAATAGGCTTTGAGGGTACAAGGCAGTGGGGACTTGGTGACACTGCCATTACTCAAGTTATTTTGACTTTTCCTTTCCTATGTTCTAGAAGATAATTTCTAGGTATCTGAGATTAGAGGAAGTGAGCTGGTGATGTCTAAATCATACTTCTTGGTGAGTCTCACGATACTTCTTGGTGAGTTAGATTGCATCTACAGTAGTTCCTATGTTCCGGGAAACATATTTTAAGAGGAAACTGACCAAATAGATGTTTCAAGATAGTTTCCAAGATAGAAAGTGAGAAGCTTTAAAATTATGTCACATGAGGAAAAATAGGGAAGAATGAGATTTCACTGGGAGAAGGAAAATCTTTGGGGGGAAAAAGGAGAAACTTGGCTGATATGGTAAAAAAAATCATTCTGACTCCCTACACCATAATCACGCCTTCATGATTATGACTAACAAAGCATGGGTTATAAATAGGGGGAGCTTTTGATTCAGTATACAAGAAATTCCTAATAATGAAAACTGTTGAGCAATTCATTGACTAAGCATTTACCATAGCCCAGGAATGGGGAGGCAAATTAAATAAGACGAAAATCACTACCTAGCATAGCTCACAAAGTAAAAGGCTCATCCTCCAAGTGATTAAGAACAACTTAACGACCGGCTGTTAATGATCTGGAATTGGATAGAAGACTGGAGTGAATGACAGCTAACGTCCACAATGAACATTTTGAGTCTAGCACCCTGGCAGAGCTGGCAGATAACTGTAGACCAAGATAAAATATTTTAATGGGAGTCTGGAGTCTTCAAGAAATACAATGCATTTTTGAACTCTTACCCTACCAAGTTCTCTTATGGTCATTGAATTATACGTGACGTTGGGGACAAGTTAACTTTGTGATAGGGTTTTACTGACACCTAGTGATAAATATGAACATTAATATAATATAAAATGTTTTAGGAGACTATACAATTAACACAAATTAAAATTTTACAAAAATAATAAATAAATATAGTGAGAAGAACTTGTTTTGAACTCTAATTTCAAAATAGAGTTAAAATCTCTTAAATTTAATTTTATCTTTAAAATATTTAACTGAAATTTCAAGCTCTTCAATATAGTTGATTTTATTTATACTCAAACCAAAGTTACTATCACTTTATCTTTTAACTCATATTTTTTAATTACGCTTTCTTGGTTTATGAAAACAGAAAAACATCATCTAAATGAAGAGTGTGTTAAATTTTAGCTATGTAAGCTGATATTACTGAAACATATTCTCTACTTATAAAGGCAAATAATAGACACCAATCCAAGACTGTTAACAGTACCTTTTCACAGTAGTAGCACCCTATTTGTAACATTCTCATTTGAGATTCTGTGAGTAAGAATGGCGAAGGTTGATTCTGGTTAGACTTAGGCACTGTATGAAGAAATAGTAGGTGCTAGTTGGTCAATGGGGAAATTAGGCCCAAAATACTTCTATGCTAAATGAATTGAGGTAATCAGCTGTGACTATTGAGCTACTTATACAATATATGTATTTGTTATTAATCTGTGAACAAAAGAATAAGGCAAAATATCAAATTTTCCATACTAAATGAAGCATATGAAAATTAAGACTAGATAAAAATTTTAGCTGGTATGGTCATGTTTTAACAACTTAAGAAAATGAAACCTTTCTAGGATAGAAAAAATGGGTACCATCAACATTTTGAAATAGTATACAAAATGTCACTTCCCTCAGTATGACCTCTTTTGTGACTTAAAAAGGAATTATAAACTCCAAATAACTTCCTTCTGCAGGCTCTCCACTTTTCTGTATGAAATTTTGTTAATTTAAAATTAAACAAAAGACTGTTTAAAACCAATTCTCTTTCCTAATCAAAAAAAAAAAAAAAAAAAAAAAGAAAGAAAATAGAAAGAAAGGAAATCTTTGAGAAGGGCAGCACCTTTTCCTGGTGAAGGCTATCACTTGCAGAAGTGGGCTCTGGCCCAGGCAGTCTGGCTTCAAGTCTGTGCTTTCAATCCCCACCCTGTGCTGCTTGGAGGGACTTCCCAAGCCATGTCAAATCTCCTGACCTGGGCCAAAAGGCAATGATGACGATGCCAGAGAAAATTATATTCTACCTCTTTGATCTATGTTAGTGACATGGGACTTCATGTCGAAGATTACAATTTCTTATGTTATTCACTATATGATTTAGCTTCTGTTAGCTCAGTGTTAGTGAAACAGCAGACATTTAGAATTCATTAGAAGACAACTAGCAAATGTGGGCAAAGCCAATGGCAGTTTGAAGATTTTTGCATCCAATTCATCTGCAAAGTTGCTACAGTTCTGAAAAGTCTTCTGATGCCTGGAACCTAAGCATACAGCTGCTCAATTAAAACCCTTTATGTGCTTAAAGAATTCTTCATATGCTTTAAGAAGACTTGACACTTCCGTTTAATATTCTTTTCTCTAGATTATATAAAACTGGCTTCTTATGTTTTCTCACAGGGACAATACCCTAACCTCTTTTCTGTCTAGGATGGAATTCATCCTCCATGTGGGGTTCTACAGATTTCCACGTTTTAAAAAATTAATTTGTGGGATTATGGGTCCTTACATATAATCTGGATGTGTAACAAGACATGTGCAAAGTATTTAATGGACTGGATTATTGTCAAAGGTAATAGAATTACAGAAGATAAATGAATCTGTTTTAAGTTTTCTTAGGGTTGGCTATCGATATTTTAAAGTTAGTAAGAAAAATCAGCAATGACCCTAGTTACATTTTTTTGATCTTCTGGCTAAAGTTAGTATCTAATAACTTTAGGATAATCAGAAAGACTGTTTTCAAAGACTGAACTAACCCAGCAGTGGATAGCAGGTGTGATTCCAATTTTTAAAATGCTGTCAATTCAACAATTTATTTAAAATTATACTTTGTTCCTCTAAACAGCAGGTTGTTTAGAAGGTGTGGATTCTAGCTTAGTCCGTTGAATTTTGTAGGTTTGTCCCCTATTGCAAATTACTCAAAATCCCTAAGCTTTGGTTTGTTCATTTGCATCATTTGTTTCAGTTAGCTCCACTACTTGACTATGAAAAACATATATGAGCATTCAGGTCTGTTCATCACTGTATCTGCACGGTTTGTCTGCCAGCTGACTCAAGTAACAGTTGAAAAATAAAAATAGGGTGGGGAGGGGGTTAGAGAGGGCTGGGGAGATGGTGGGGGCCATCTAGCCAATGTACACTGTAAGCCTATTCAGAATTCTTGCAATGAATCCCCCGTATAATGAATATATCCTAATAAAAATTAAAAAATAAAAATATAAGTATTGTCACTCATGACTCAGAAGGTTGCTATGAAGTTTAAATGATATTGTGACGCAATATATAGGAAAATGGGTACATTCTCTTTTGTTTCATTTGAGGTAGGGTCTTGCTACATAGTCTAGGCTGGCATTGAACTCTCTAGCCTTTTGCCTTAGCCTCCCCAGTGCTAGGATTACAGACCTGCCTGGCAGGGGATACATTCTTTTTTACATTTAAAAAATGTGGCTAACTTCTTGGTACCTAGCTTAAAAAGAAATTAGGGTAAATGCATTTACAATAAGTCATTTAAAGTCATTATAGGCTATGTATGTACAAATATTGTGAGAAAAATAGGCAACAAATCTACCTAAAGTCTCAGAAGATTTTGGTTATTGCACAGTATCAGCAAAACTTTGGAGATAAAATAATCTGTGATTTTCAATACCACAGGCAAATTCTCTAAACAAGTTCAGATAAAAAAGTCAAATGTGAATTCCCTGTACTATTATGCAGTCATTTAAAAAAGATAAGCAACTTTATGTATGCTAATGTCAAAAAGATGTAAGGCGTACGAGTAGGTGAAAATGAAATATGCAAACAATTCATTTATCATTTCTAGATGTTCAAACATCTATGAGCCTCAAAACCTTGATCAAAGCCTCCATGGTACTGGCACAGGGTGCTTTGTGGAGGGAGTGAGACTGTGTGAGGATAACAGGGCCTTGGGCTTTACTGGCATTGTCTAAAATTTGTCCAGTTAGAAGGTGAAAAAATAGATGAGAACATATTACCAACCAGAGAATTCCACAAGCCTTATTTAAGTATTGAAGATGGAAGGGTGATGCTCTTCAATTTTATACAAATGAGGGTCAGTTCTTGGACCTGGCAGGGAGGACGACTTCCACTCTCAGTGGCACATTTACATATTTGCTCCTAGAGTGGGGGGAGAAGCTTTCGCATAGAGGAGAAAAGCCCAGTGATGGACAGCAATGTTAAGTGATATTAGATATGAAACGTATCAAAAAAAATGACCCAAAAAGTTGGAAGGATTAAGGAAAAACACATTTTCTAGTTTATATAGAGAGACAATAGGAAGCTAGTAATTAACCATAATTCTCTTTAGTATGACAAATATAGCCTTTGAATATTCTGTTAAATGAAAGTGTCACTTTTATTTGTTTTATTATTTTACCATATTTGATTTATTTCAGTCTGGTAGACAAAAAGACATGTTGACTAAACACAACATAATTTCTATAGTCTGTGGGGTCACATGTATCATTACCTAATTGATTGCATTGTTGACTGGCTGTTGATGGGCTTCATGGCTCCCAAGCCTCCCCTGGTCCTTCCTTCCCTAAGGACTCCCTGATTTCTCCTTGTTCATCCTGCCCCGAGAGCTCGCCTTCTTCCGGGAACTTCCTTTCTTGGGGTACTGGCACTCTTTGTGCGTAGTCTCTGTCTAAAATTGGTCTCTGGTTCAGTGATGCACTTGGCTCGAAGGACTCAAAGCCCACTGGGGAATCTCTCATTGCTCCAGGACCTCCAAACCCATCCTCTGGTATCAGAGACAGGTCTTGGTCCTCCTTATGCTCATAAGCATTCAGCCTCTTTTCAACCACTTCACGAATCAACACTGCAAAGTTCAGAAATCACTGTGATTTTTCATTTATTAGATGAATTACAGATGAGCTAAAATGGTCACCAGCCCTCCTCCTTCCCTGTATCATAGCCTTCTATAAAGTCAGAATGCTTAACTCCTACGCCAATTAATACATTGAACATAAGTTATAGTCTCTGTTTGTTTTAACACAATAGCATTTATAATGACAGAAGATATACTGATAAAATTATAGAAAAACCAAATATTGTTTTGAAGGTAAAAGTGTCAATATAACTGATATACTGAAAGCATAAGTAATAAACTGCAAAATTAATGTCTTTTTCAGCTTTTTTTTTGACAATCTTACTCATTTATTTATTTTTGGTGGTGCTAGGGGTTGAACTCAGGGCCTTCCACTTTTTAGGCAGGGGGTCTACCACTTGAGTCTCGCCCTCAGCCCTTTCTGCTTTAGTTGTTTTCAGGTAAGGTCTCATGTTTATGCGTGGGCCAGCATGGACTGCAATCCTCCTATTTACATTTCCCATCTATTGGGCTGACAAGTGTGCACCACCACACCCAGCTTTCCGTGGTTGAGATAAGTCTTGCTTTCTGCTTGGGCTGGCCTCGAAATGAGGGCCTCCCTGATCTCCACTTCCCAAGTGGCTAGTATTATACATGTGAGCTCCATACCTGGTCTCTACTGAAAATTTTAGAGATGACTTTAAGTAAAATAAAGTAACTTACTGTCAAGCACTGTTCTTCCCACCATGTTGAATTCCATGGTTTTTTCAACTTCATTCATCAGCCATGGAAGAAATCCTACCTCAATATCTGTAATGAAAATTTCATGAAGTCATTTTTACAAATCCTCATTGTAAGAAGGTAGAATGAAAGAGATTATCAACATTGTTTTCTCAAAACACAATGTTAAATGGACTCATGCTGCGTAACTTTTGCCACATTCTCTACACATGTTCTTGCCAGTTTCCTTTTCTATTACACTTAAAGAACTATGAGGCCCTGCTTAGTGTCAAGGCAGTTAGAGCTGGCTCCAGAGATGTCACGTGAGGTGGATTCAGGAGACAGGGAAGATGCTGATTTGGGAGAACTCCAATGGAATGTGATGCATTGGCAGTAAGAAGAACCCCTCCCTCCCGCTGAGGTGAGGGCCTCATGGGAGCTCATCAGAGTCAGAAGGTGCAGGCCAAGGACCACCTGAGAGGTGGCCATCTAGCAATGGGTCAGAAGAAGTTTCTTCCAGCTGACATGGAAATCTGCTGTATAAAAATTTTAAACAATATGGGTCATTACAATACATATTTTAACATTTCAAAACAGCTTTTTGGGGGGGGGATGGGCATCTGTTATTTTTCAGTAGGATGACAATGGCTAGTGTGATAGAATATTATATTTGCTCTTACAAATGATTTAAATTTCAGGTAGGAATTACATTTGCAAGCTTTAAAGTGACTTTTAAGGCAATCCACGATAAGAGAAAAGGCTGCTGATCTCTGTGACCAATAGTGAGGCACCTAGTGTTATGGTTTGGATCTTAAATGCCTCTCAAAGCTCATGTATTGAAGGATTGACCCCAAGCTGATGGCACTATTGAGTGGAGGTAGAATCTTCAGGAGCTGGGCCTACTTAGAGGAAGCAGATCACTGGGGCACACCCTGGAGGGTATATTGGGATTCTCTTGGCCCTTCCTCTGCCATAAAATGAACAGATTTGCTCCACTACACATTCTTTGCCATGATGTTCTGCCTCACCACAGGCCCAGAAACAATGGAGCCAAGTGACCATGGAATGGAACTGCTGAAAGCTTGACTCAAAACAAACCTTTCCTCCTTATAAGTTGATTATCACAGGTATTTTGTCACAATGACAGAAAGCTGACACATACTTGGCTAGAACCCAAGAAGGAAGAATGGTAGCATAGAAAGAATAGTGAACTTGGAGTTCCAAGTCAGTTTGAGACTAAATACTTCCATTGATATCTGGGAGCAAGGCTTTAACTTCTCTGAGATTCAGTTTGAACTTCTGAAAAATAGGCATTCTATCTGCTGTATCTATCCTACAAGGAAATTGGGAGGATCAAATGATAATCACCAAGAAAAATACTATGTAAATTGTGAAGTATGATAAAAATGTAAAACTAATGATATTTGTGCATAATCTGACTCTGGATTGAACCGAATATGTAACCAGTGAGAATTAACATTACTTACATCTGCTCCAAAACACTCTTACCCAGTAATATAGGACCTGGATACAAAGCACTGGAGGTATAAGTGCTTTTTAATCTAAGGAGGGTGGCAGTGAGAACATGTTACTTCTTCTCCATCATTTGGCAGACTGGCTAGAGACTAGGACTCCTTTTTTAAAATCTCCAACACAGTGCCTGGGATGGTATATGTACCACATTAAATGGATAAATGGCCTTAGCAGGTGCCTTCAAAAGCATTTTTGATTAGAGTAAAAAACTAAGAAAAAGTAACAACTATTTACACATACACAGTACTTTTCACATATAAAGCACTTTGTTTACACAGGTCCCATGTAATTTATAATTTAACTCCTAAAAATCCTCATTTCACACATGAGGAAACTGGAGGTCATAAAGCCAGTGAATGATGAAGCTGGGACCTAAACTCGAGTTTGTGATTCAAGTTCCTGTTTCTCTCACCTGTCTAATGGTGCTTCTCAGTAAACTAGCATTCTAAAATGAAGGCTTCTTAGTACTCCCCTTAAAATGTTTTAGGTTTTAAACTGATGCAGGGTAGCTGTGCATACGCCAGGCGCTATAACACACCTCTTATTTATAACAGTATTTACAACACCCAATAGTAACCTTTTGTTTTAGAAACAGATTCTAATTCAGAATAAAAATGTACATGAAATCAAGGTGAGGACGCTTATTATAACAGAGTTAATCTAACAAAAACCTTCACAAACCTCTTTCAATAGGGTCATAAAAGTAGCCACTGTCTCTGAGACTGTCAAAAACGGACGGGAGAAGGTCTGCCAGGTAACGCTGTGCAAATGCCCGGGCGGAGATCTTCAGGGCCGTCTCATTGTGCTTGTGCACTATGTCCCATTGCTGCTGCTTACGGCGTTCCTGCCAAGAGGAAAGTGTTAGCAAAAATCACATGCTCCTCAAATACTGAATCTAGTAAGGGTGATAAGTGGAAGAGTTTGGACTTTTCAAAAAATGGTCAGCAAGATGTCTATCTATGAGTCATATTTCTCATCAAGATTTTAACGAGTTTCGACATCTATTGGGTAGTGAATTAGGTAGATGTTAAGAATGGAACTAGGGGAAAACTAATATCCTTGACCCATTTTTAAGTGAAACAATTTCAAGATACACATACTTGACTAGATACTATCAAAAGGATAATGATAGCCAGATGTGGTTGTACACAACTGCAATCCTACACTTGGGAGGCTGAGGTAGGAGGATTGTAAGTTTGAGCAAGTTTGGGCTACAGAGAAAGGCCCTGTCTCCAAAAAACAAACAAACAAACAAACAAAACCAAATGAACAAAAAACAAACAAAACAAAGACTACTGAGTTTAAAGCTTCATAAATGCAAGCTAATGATATATTTAAGAAAACTGAGTTGTAAAACTTTTCTTATTGAAGGTTCATAAAACCTATGATCCAAAAATTTTCTGTAAGGACCCAAGTAGTTTGGAGTATCCCTAAAGACAGAGAGAAGGGCCTGGCAACACACGCTACTTTTTCCCTTTTTCATCTTTCTGCCACTGAATTATGGAATCAATGTATTTCTTTCTCTAGGACTCCTGATATTTAAGAGCATCTTCCAGGTGGGACACATGCAATTTAGGAACATTCATTTAATTTGGGAACTTTTGGAAACTCAATTTAGATACATTTATATAAGATAAAATTTATAAAACGTAAGTCAGTCCATGAAAGATATATGATCAAAAGGGGAGAGGACAGGAGTGTGATTAAAATGCAAAATTGTGTACTCAGGTATGTAAATGCAAAAATGATACATGTTGAAACTATTCTAGGAATCAGGGAAAGAGGTGGATAAAGGAGATCTGTGGAGGGGGTGAAGTCAAGTATGATATATTTGATACATTGTAAGAACCTTTGTAAATACCACAGTGTACACCCACCCAGCACAAAAATAAAGGAAAACAAAAATAAAATGATGGATTCAAACATAAAAAAAAATAAAATAAAGGGGAGACTTGAGCAACAAATACTATAGGTCTTTTTCTAACATATTTCCAAAGATTTTTAGTTTTGTGATATAACATATATAACTTTGAGCACATTAAATAGCCAAAAGACTAAGGGGCTATGGTATACTTCAGTGACAGAGAATGTGCCTCGTATACCCAAGAACTTGGTTTTAATACCAAGCACACACACACAAAGACAAAAGTAAAAGACTAAGAAAAACCCAGAATTCTATACCTTTTCTTCTCTGTGTCGTCTCTCTTGTTCTTCCAGTCGCTGAACTTCAGCCAGCTCAATGTTCCGGATTTCCTCATATGCATATTGATTGGACCGTAGGGTGGCCAACTCTTCTTCTTCCATCACTTCCAGAAGGGACTGCTCAATTGTTTTCCCCACCAAGACTTCTAACATTGGTTTAACTTCAAGATCAAAGTCAAAGAGCTTAAGCCAATCAAAATAAAGCAAACAAAACTTTAATTGTGAACCAAATGTACAATAAAAATATAAAAGAGAGTAGCAGTAACAGGTTATTATTAAGTATTGTCTGTGTGCTAGATACTGTGCTAGTATTTATGTATGGTTTTTAATGCTTAAAATAACCCTGCAATGTACACAGAACAGCATTTTGTTTTTAGACAAAAATCTATTAATTTAAAGTTATAGATTCATCAACATGAACCCTGGTACTCAACAATTTTAAACTCAAACTCTGAAATCCAAGGGAAATATCATCATCTTTCTTATTCTCTGCCTTTTCTGTTCCGTTTTTACTAGCTGCTTTTTAAATAAGTTTGAGAAACTAGAACAAGATTAATGAGTATGTTAAGTGGGTTAGGTCCAGGATTTAGAAGCAAATACACTTTTCTATGCAGCATCTCAAAACTCATATTGTTTCCCAAGTTCAGTGACAGTTTTTCTAAGTTCCTTCTATTCTTAAATCTCATTTAGATCATTAAGCACTTAATCATTGCCTTCTATTCTTTAATAACATGTACTTGCCTATCTATGCATTTCACATTCATATGAAAATGTAATTAAGACTTTTTAACAGACAGTACATCATAACATTTATACATTCCACAAGTAACTAAGAGTGGAATATCTTATATAAGGGACAACAGCATTCTTTATTTGGAACAAGTCTATGTTATGTACACACATTAGGCAGGTATATAAAAAAAAAACCCAAAATAAACTCAAGCTGGGCACAGTGCCTCATGCCTGTGATCTTAGCTACCTGGGAGAGATCAGGAGGATCATGGTTCAAGGCCAGCCCAGGCCAAAAGTTCGCAAGACTTCATCTCAACCAATAAAAAGAAAGACTGGGTGTGGTAGTATGCACCTGTCATCCCAGCTACGTAGAAATATACACAGGAGGACTGTGGTCCAGGCTAGCCAGGGCAGAAACTTGAGACCCTATTCAAAAAATACCTAAAGCAAAGAAAGAGGTCGGGTACAGCTCAAGTGGTAGAGCGCCTCTCTAGTGAGGCTCTGAGTTCAGCCCCCAAACCCCCCCCACATAAAATTAAATGAAAACTATTATGAAACATTTATAATAATTGTATTTCTGATATGCAAAGAAAAGAAATCAGAACATAGTATTGAAAACATTTCTGGGTACTATAGGATAAAACTATTATAGATAATATCTGCAAAGAAATCCCATAAGTAGAGTCTTTCTGATTGTGCAGTACTTCTGGCCTATATTAAGCTTTACTTAAACCTAATGTTACCACATTTATGAAGCTAGAGGGGAGCCAAAAGAATCTACTATACCTCTCCTTCTAGTATTTGGGTAGCCACATCTTTGCCAGTTTTGGCAGGAATAAAAAGTGGTGTTGGTGGTCTGTCCAAAAATGCATCTGTCTGGCATTCCATATCAACTTCTATTACACGGTCAGCAATTTCTTCAAGGTATAATTCTAAGAAGAATAACATATACTCTGAGTTTGAAATTCCAGTCTATTTCAACCATTTATATGTACTTGAAAGTTCAGCTCTTTCAAAATGGAAGTAAGTCTCCAAGTGTGGTAGCATACAACAGTAATCCCAGCACTCCAGAACAGAGGCAGGAGGATCAAAAGTTGGAGGCCAGCCTGGGTTACATGGCAAGACCCTATCTCAAAAAACAAACAAACACCCCACAAATAAACAAAGACCCCACAAATAAACAAAGAAACAATTCCTCCAATCTAGAATTAAATGGATCAGAAAACAGGTCGTAGAATGAAAGTGCTCAAATGTAGGGTTCAATTCACACATTGCACCAAAAGTTTTACATATGTGGACGATCATAGAGTCAGTCAGTCTGGAACTAAAGAAGAACATGAGACTACAGGTGTGTATAAAATGCAAATTGTCACAAGAGATGACAACTCAGGAATACCTAATGTAATTGAATCCTAAAATAGTAAATGTATAAGGATTTGAAAATTCTTGGATTTTAAAAAAAGTCATGCATGAAGTCACCATGTTATATGATGTTCCCTCTATCTTACAGATCACAAACAGATGTTTGAAAACAAAGTTCAAGTGAGAAATGACAATGTGGTGTCATGTGAAGAACATGGGCCCTGGAGTCAGATGTTGAACATGGGATCCAGCCAAGACACATCCTCTCCAGGCCTCAGTCTCCTCATGTGTAAAAGGGATCAAAATTACTGTTACATGGAGTCTTTGCAATGGCAGAGGAGATTCACAGGTAAAGGACCTGGTGTAGCCTCTGAGGAAATGCTCAACAAAAAGTAGTGACTGTGTCACTTAATATTCTGATGCTACCAACACACACCAAATCTTACATCTGACAGAACCACAACCATACAGGCTAATCAGTGACATTCACTCGCTTTAGGTTTGACTTAAAGTGGTAGGGAAAAAAGTGTGGGATGGTTCTCATTCTTTATTTTTTCTCCAGAAATAACCCTGATGAATCTGATTACCATCTTGGCAGGGAACAAGGCGAATCTTAAGAAGTTGCATTAATAAGGAAAACACCAAGTATTGTCAGATCACCAAGGTTATGCCAACAACACAGCTGGGCTCTATAGGATCAGGTAAACTTCTATAGCTGCGAAGAGTGAGAACAAGTAGGAAATCCTGGCACCTGCCTCTGAAGTGCCTGCGTGGCCCTAGGGATCATGCAGAGTGAAGGGACAAACAAAGGAGAGAACAAAAGAGGCTGGTGTGAAAGACAGATGAGTCAGATATCAGTGTGTTCACTCCTCCCAAAAGACAAACAAAATGTCCAAACAGACCTACAGTTGGTCTCCTCACTTATCAATCCTGATGAAAAGAACAGTGATTCATGTTGGGCTATGAGAAATAATCCTAGTTTGAAGTAGACTATGTGAAAGGGCTAAGAGAGAATTAGTTTGGTCATAAAAGTCTTTTTATAAGCCTCAGCCCACACTTCCAGCCATATCCAGTATAATAATAATAATAATATATGCTCTATCTATTTGTTTAAAGAGGGGACTTCCCACCATATGATTGGGAAAGGATCGGAGGGCACAGGAAAAACACAAATAACATAAAGGAAATGAAAATCTAATAAAATAGAAATAAAAGTGAACTGACACAAACAACTGGGTAAGCCAAGGAGCTACAAGGCCCATGCACAGCCACCCACCTGTCTGCACATCCACATGCTTTCTGCCCTCCACGGGCTCTGGTGTCCGTGGTCGGAGCTGCTGTTGGGCTCGTTTTCTGGCGAGAGCTCTCCTCTTAGCCTGCTGCTGTCTCTGAAGTTCTAATGGATCCGGCTGCCCAGGCTAAGAGGGACAGAAAAGGCTCCTACAGTTAGAAAATATTTTTCAAAGCAGACAGAACTGATATTCCAAAAGTTATTATAAAAGTACCTATCACAACAGTGTTTCCTGGTCATCAGTGGCTTGACCATTAACACTTCATTGGAACTTTGTCAGTACTACAAAGGTATCTGACAAAGCATAAAATGACTTCTACCTGGAATAAGTGGGTGCAGAATCCTATCTAATTAACTTTTCTTTACTCAAGCTCTGTTACCATCGGTTCCTCTGGTGCCTGTAAAACTGATAAAACTTTAACATGTAGTCAAGGAATTGAAAAGCACTAGCATTTTTTAAAAAGTCAACCTACATTTGAAAAGAATTTCCTTAACAAATGTCTTAGTTCACACCCTCAGTACAAATGAAAACATCCTCAGTCCCAAACAAGTGCACAAAGTAAGTTGAATAAGGGATTGAAAATAGGGCTGGAAGTATGGCTCAAGTGCTACAGCGCCTCTCTAGCAAGTGTGAGGCCCTGGTTCAAACCCCAGTACCCTCCCCCGCAAAACAAAAACAAAACAAGGGATTGAGAATATAATTGTTCATAGCAGTTCTGCAACATTTTGAAGTCCTTGCTTAGATACCTGTATATTATTTTGTAAAGTCATTCTCTTGCTGGCTCATCTTCTCCCAAGGTAAATAGGAAAAGAAAGGGGGGTATAAAAGTATTTCACATGAATATTTTTAATATTTAAACTTTGAATTCTAAATACATTTTCACTGAAGTGACAATGTAATAACATTAAATGTTTTTTAAAAAAGAAAAAGAACATTACGAATGATCCCATATCATTTAAGCACATTGTTTTTGTACTGTAAATGTGACACTGTTTTCTAACTTCACATTATTATAGATTTTCCCCCTATGTATTTGCATTACATAGTGTAAGGTATGCCAAATAAAGACCACGCCACATGTGGAAAGGAAAGGTTTATTGGTCCACACCGCAGGGCCGTCACTCTTTTTGGGTTCAGAGTGAGGTGGCTTGGCTGAAAATGGGTAGTGGGCTTTATAGGAGGGGCCAAGCCATGGGGGAGGGAGAGAGTCTCTGGTCTCTGATTATCTGCGATCACCAGATGGAACAGGTCGACATGCCTGGCTAGTTGAGTAACCGGAAGTTCCTGAGTTATTTCGCAAGCCGAGAAAAATCAGGCAGGGAGAAACAGGTGGTCATAAATCAGGGGGTCTGGTTTTGCTAGCCTCGGGACCTTCCTCCCGCCCCAAGAATGCTAGGGACCTAACACATAGAGCAAGGATCCTGAAGCTCAAATTCCAGCTCTTCAATTCATTAATTACTAGGACTAGTTAAGTATAGACTAATAACCTAAGCTTGCAGATGCTTGGATCTCTCCTCTGTAATCACATTTATATAAGGTTTTAGCTGTAAGCAACAAGTCAAGTGACAAGGTATTGAATCTAACATAATATCTGGCATAGAACAGCTCTTCCCTATCTAAGTTATCATATCCTCTTATTATAAAATAATATAACCACATTACAAAAAAGAACTGCCCATAATTCAGTTTTTCTAATACAATTGCTGATGCAATTTTGGAACCCTTCAGTGAAGATTTTTTTTGTGTATTTATTCTACACTACTATAAATATCATGCTTAATTTCTTTCCATTTTCTACAAGGGAGAGAATTTTAAAGTTAGCTCTTGAAAGATTTAGGGTATTAACATAAATGCAAGTTCACTTTAGAAATGTATTGCCCAGCCTGTTTCAAGGTCTAGTTAAAATATCTTTAAAAAATATCTATTTTGAAATAGTTCACAAGAGGGTACAAAAATAGAGTTCTGTGTACCCTTCATTCAGCTTCCTTCAATGCTGAATTGAAGGAATTGTGCTATAATGTAATTGTAGCACAAGACTCCCAAATCAGGAGGTTAACAGTGGGAAAATGCCATTAATAGTGCTTACTCAGTTTTTACAATTTTTATCATTATTGGCTTGTATTTGTGTCTGTCTTTCTAGTTCTATGAGATTGTGCTCCACATACAGACTCATGCAGCCACCATCACCATCAATAGCTAGACATGTCCCATCATCACAAAGGAGCTGTGCAGGGATCCCTTTGTATTTTCTCCCAAGTCCCAGTCCATCCCTGTCCCTTGGCAACCAGTATTATGTTCATCTTCACTACAGCTTATTTTTAATTGTTACATAGTAACTGTACACACTTATGGATTATAGTGTGACACTTCAGTACCTGCATACAATGTGTAAGTGATCAGATCATAGCAATTTGCTATCTATCATTTCTTTGTGTCAGGAACATTTAAAATCCTTTTGATCAGCTATTTTGAAATAGCCCTTTTTTTTTCTGAAAATGTTACATAGTATATGTAACTTCTTGAAATTGGCCTTTTTTTTTTTAAGTGGATGCCCTTGGGAGCCATCCAGGGGTTGCTGCATGTACCCATAACTTATTCCTTTTAACAGAGTAGTAGTAGCTGGTTACATGGATGTCAGAGTTTGCTCTCATCATGTGCCTATTTTAAAGCACTTAGGATGTGTTTTCAGTTTTTGGCGACTATAATTAAAAGTTGCTGTGAATGTTTACGCACAGGTTTATGTGTAGACACAAGTCTACACTTCTCTACGATAAATAGCTACAAGTGTATTGTGAGGGCGGATAAGTGCATATACTAAGGTTCATAAGTAACTGCTGAATAATCTTCTACAGTGGATGTCTCGTTTTACATTCCCATCAGCAAAATATGAGCATTCCACTCTCTGCCAGTAGTTGTTATTATCACTATTTAAAAATTTTAGGGTTGTAACAGGTGATCAGTAAGTCTGTCCTGGTGGTTTTCATTTGTATTTCCCTAGTGGCTAATGTTGGGCATCTTTTATGTGCTTATTTGCCATCCATATCTCCTCTTTGGTGAAATGTCTGCTCACATCTTTTGACCATGTGCTTTAGTTGTTTTTTGAATAAGGTCGTGTGTTTTTGCACAGGTCAGCCTGGACTGTGATCCTCCTATTTACACCTCCCATGTAGCTGGGATGACACGTATGTATCACCAGGCCCAGCTTATTCAATGAGATGGGAGCTCACTAACTTTTTGTTGGGCTGGCCTGGAACTGTGATCCTCCCAATCTCGGCCTCTTAAGTAGATGGGATGTAGGCATGAACCACCATGCCTAACTCTAGTTTTAAGTGTAAGCTTAACTTTCTTACACCTGAAGCACAGCTCAGTCACCCCGATGCAGTTTCCAATACTATCCCCATCTGAATGCGTGCATCTAGTGAACAGAAATAACTTAAAAGCAACTACCTCTCAGTCTCAGAAAGGCCTCCTGTAACTAGTACCTTAAACCTAACAAAATTGCTCTAGCTCCCCATGGAAGCCTGTTTGGGTAAAACTTTGTACCCAAAAAAAGTGTTGACCCAGGGCTCCCCCTTCCCTTGCCTAATATGTGTGTGTGTGTGTGTGTGTGTGTGTGTGTGTGTGTGTGTGTGTGTTAGAGACACATCTGGGTGTGCTGTGTCCCCCTTCCAGGATCTGTGCGTACTAAAAAACTCTTTAACTTTCACACTGTAGTTGGTTGTGTCACTGACGCCTGATGGCAGGCTGCCCAGTGAGACCCACACAGGTAGATGCTGCTGGTGCCCTTCTGTCTGGTGTCTGCTGGAAACAGGAGCCACCAGCTCAGTTGATAGAGAGATTCAGAGTCTCATTCAAACATTTGAACATTTTTATTTTGATTTATCTATAACATTTTTGACTATATCTTTGCATAGTATTTTTAATGCCTGTTCCAGGTATTACAATATACCTATCAGTCAACATTTAATACCAATATTTTACCACTTCAAGTGAAGTATAGAAATCTTACTTCTATTTAGATTCCTCTATTAGCTACTATATATTTTAAAATATAATAAAAATATAATCATCTTAAATATTTCATCTATATACTTTAAGCATGACATCAGATGATATTTTGCTTAAATCATCAAACATAATTTTAAAACTCTTTGGAAAGTTATTTTCCATCCTTTGACCTGTATCATTATTTTTCCCTCCTTTTGTTATTTCTTTTCTGTGTACAGAACTACCTTTAGGTACTCTTCATGGGTAGGTCTGCTGATGACAAGTTCTGTTTTCCTTCATCTAAAAATGTATTGGTTTCTCACTTATTCCTGAAGAATATTTTCACTGGATTAGAATTAGGGCTTGGTTTGGCCTTTTCTTTGAGGATTTGAAAAATACTGTGACTACCTTCTGGCCTTCATGTTTCAGATGAGAAATCCATTGTTATTCAAGTCATTCTTCCTCTTCAGCTAACATGGCATTTCTTGCCAGGTCCTTTCAATGCTTTGTTTTTAGCCTTCAGAAGTTTGCTTTTGATGTGGGTTAGCAAGAATTTCTTTGGATTTACCTTGGGTTCACTTAGCTTCTTAAAACTGTATAGAATTTTCAGTCACTATGTCTTTAAATATTTTTCTATCCCATACAGCTTCACTTGTTCTGGGACTGCAATGGCATGAATACAGATGTTTTGTTATTGTTCCTCAGCTCCCTAAAGCTCTCTTTTGGGGGACTATTTTCTCTGTGTTGTTACAGGGTAATTTCCATTGATCAGTCTTTGAGTTCACAATGGCATCTCCAATGTACTTCTGAGTCTATCCAGTGAGTTTTTAAAATTTTGGTTATTGTATTTTCAGTTCTGTAGTTCCCATTTGGTTCATTTTGCTAAGATTTTGTTTTAGTCACTTGCTTACAGAGTGTTCATAATTCTTCACTTTTGATCAAAACATATTTATGATTGTTGCTTTAAATATTTTTGTAATTTCTACATCTGAGTCATCTTGTGTTGTCATCTCTTAATTGTTTTTTCTCACAAGACTGTCCTGGTTTATATATGATAAATTTTTTTTTTTTATTGTATTCTGGAGATTCTGGGATTATAAGACTTTGGGTCCTACTTAACCTTTCCATCAGGAAGTCATCCTTTTTGTTTTAGTGGAGTCTGGATGAGCTGGAAGGTTAACTCCCTGGTGGGCCCTGTTGATAACCTCATATTAGTATGTAGTCAGTTGGAGTTGTATTCAGCATCTTGATCAGCTCTGCTGACAATGGTATTTGGGAAGAGGCTCTGAAGCACTGACTAGAGCTACCTCACACCACCTTGCTCCTCCTTGTTACTACCAGGTAGAATTGAAATTCAGCTCTCACTGGCTTTGCTGACACCACTCCAGAAAAAGTGGGGTAGCGACTTGTACTAATTCACTGTCCATAAGTGAGGGTGGAGGTTTGGCTCCACCTTTGTTGATACCACCTCAGTGGGGAAAGCAGAGGACTAATTTGCACTGGGCTGTAGGGTTCACTAGTGCCCTGAGTATGACAGGTGGGAGACAAAGAGGAAGCATAGGGAACACATCTCCACGCTGTTCCTCCAGTCCCAGAATTTCTAGCCAGCCTGCACCCTTCTTTCCACCCATCAGTCTTCTTATGTTTGTTATAACATGCCCAGGGGTTGTTAGTTGTAAGAGGAAGCAATAGGAAGAAATATGTGCATTCCTGATGGTATGGAGCCAGAAATCTCAGTGTAGACTTTTAGGATTAGGTGCTGATTAGTTAAAGAACTAAAAAAGGACTATTTTCTTTTCTGCTTTTGTTCCAGATATGTCAGTGTTCATTGGTACTGCTACAAAAAAAATGTTGAAATGTATGTCTAGATCACACGTTTGAGTTGTGCCCCAAACTGCCTATACCAGAATTGCCTAGAGAAGTTTATTCAATAATGCTGTGCCCAAGTCCTGGAGGTTCTAATGCAGGAGATCCAGGGTAGGGCTAAAAATGCATGTTTTTAATATAATTCTGATGCAGACCCAGTGTGTGAGCTTCTGCTTCACACCAACATTCCATGTACTAAGAACCTCTTGTGCTTAGCACTTATATGTTATATACTGCTTAAATCACCACCATTAACATCATATCACGTTTTACTCAACTCTGCATCCAAAGTACCCCTTAGAAGACCTCAAACTCAATAAATATTTGTTGACTAAATTAAAGACATGTAAGTCATACTTTTCATTAAATAATGGTAATGTTATTAGAGTATGAAATAATCTAAACAAATGAGTTAGACCAGTGTTACCCAGTTGGTCCTCAGATTAGTGCTGTTTGTAAATGGCTTAAACTTGGTTTGTAACAATTTAGGTACAGAAATTGAGTATAAAAGTTTAGAAACATTTACAATATTTTGATAGCATTCTGTCAAACTTAATAAAAAAATTACAGCTTGTTTTAGTTATTATTTTTAGCTATATTTAAATATGTACATATCACTATATATGTGTACACACACACATCTTTTATTTAAATTTTTTTGTGGTACTGAGGTTTGAACTCAGGACCTCCTGCTTGCTTGGTAGGTGCTCTACCATTTGAGCCATAATCCAGCCCTTTTTTGCTTTTTTAGTTATTTTTCACATAGAGTCTCATGCTTTTTGCCCAGGGAGGCCTAGACTACTATTCTCCTACCTACAGCTCCAGCATAACTAGGATTGCAGGCATGTACCATTATGTCCAGCTTGGTAACTGAGATGGGGTCTTGCCAACTTTTTGCCCAGGGCAGGCCTCTCCTGATCCTCTTGATTTCCACCTACCCAGTAGCTGGGATTAGAGGCATGAACCATTCTTCTTTAACCATCCCACCATCCATCTCCAGAGCTGTCTTTCCATCTTGCAAAACTGAAGTTCTGAACCCATTAAACACTAACTTCCCCTCCTGCTAGCCTCTGGCAAGTACCAGTGGGTCTATATTTGAATGGTTTTTTTTAGTGGTTCTGGAGATTGAACACAGGACCTTGCTCATGCTGGCAACTCTACCACTGACCCACATTCCCAGCCCCGGTATGTTTTTTTAAACAACTTCCATTTTTCATTTTTCTAGTAATTTCTCCTTCATTTTTACAAATGTTTTAGTCTGTAACACATTGGAAATGAACACAACACACACTGATCCCTCAGCGTGCGTGTGTAAGCTTAGTACACTACTCTAAGTGCTTACCAGCTGCCCTATGGGTAGTGCATATGTGTTGCCTCGGACCACCCTTCTGTCGTACATGATGTTCCCATAATGCAAAGGCTCGTCTTCTCTGTAAAACAACAAATCCCAGGTGAATGCTTGAATGCAGTGTTGGGATCTAAGAAGGAAATTTACTTTCAACAGAATTTAGACTAAAAATGTTTTAAGAAAATAGACTTCTAATCTAGTTTGGTTCATAAAATAAAGAGAACTGGCTACCATTTATGTAATGCTTACTGTATGCCAGTCCGTTTACATATATTATTTATTGCGTACAATAAAACTTCAAGTTGGGAACTATAATTCTTATTTACAGGAGAGGAAATAGACTCAGAAAGGAATCTGTCCAAGGTCACCTTGCCACTTACTGTGGCAGAATTGGATTTAGGCTGTAAATCTATAAAATGACTTAACAAATGTGAACATGGCCCATCTGAAAAGGAGTCTGCCCTAAAGGACTGAAAAAAGCTTGATTCAAAGATTGAAAAATTACATTAATAAAATAATCAAGCTTTAAAAAAAATCAAATTTCTCATTATTCTGTCAATCCCAAGATATTTTAAAAGGTAAAGTTTAGAATGTTAATACAATTTTAATTTTAGGGATCAGAGTGATCAGTAGTGAAAAAACAAATATACAGTTGATACTTTCAATCACAGTTATTTAAATGATATCCCCTTTTAACTGTGACTTACAATAATAACTGCACTCTACCAGAAGTGACCTTGAGTGGGCCTAAACTGGTGACAAAGATGGAAGCCACTCCTGAATGTCCTGACATGTTTCCTTGCTCATCTGACAGTGTTTAGCTGGCATTGTTTAGCTCAGCTGGCCACTCCTTCAAGAGGCCTCTCTTTTTTTAGCCCTCTGTGCTCCCACGTTTTCCTGCTACTTCTCTGGCTGTTTTTCCTCAGTGTTGTTTGCAGTTCCTTCTGTACTGGAGGACTTCCCTCAGGGCTTGGCCTTCTCTCACCCTTAGATGACCACATCCACTTGCAAGGCTGTACTTAAGATCCATATAAGTTTTTTAAAAAAATTTTTGGCTTAGAATTTTCCTCTCTAGGCATACCTGATTGCCCACTGGGATGTCTGGAATGCAATTTCACAAATGAACTAATTATCACCCTCCCATTTCAACTTGTTACTTCAAGTATTTCCTATTTCATAAAATGGTGCCACTAACCACAGTTGACTTAATCCAGAAGCCTGGGAGTCATCTATGACCTGTTCCTCTTCCCTATCTATACCACCTAGCAAGAACTACTGATTCTACCCCAAATTTTCCTTACATCCACCCATTGCTCACTGTCACTACTACCTGGACCACTGAAAAAGTTTCTTAGTCTCTTAAATGATTTGAACAACATTTCTTCCTTAATCTATTCTATACATTGTAGCCAGTGATATTTTAGGATGGTAAAATCCAAATATTACATGGTTAAAGCCTCTTAATACTAATTAAAATAATGAGAAAAAGTTTGGCTTGACACTGTCAAAAACAAGAAGACAATATCTATAAGACCTATTGCTAATGAGGATATAAATGACATATTTATACATTCTCATAGGAAACATTTATTGTCCTAGTCATATTAAAAATATTATAGCTTAATAATCCCACTAATGGCAATGGTTAGTATTGATTTCCAACGTGATTGGATCAAGTGACACCTAAAAGACTAGTAAAGCACATCTCTGAGTGTGTCTGTGAAGGTGTTTTCAGAGATGATTAGATCTTAAGGGATCTGATTCAATCAGTGATTTAACTCATTGATGGATGAACAATTTAAGTAGACTGTTGAGAAATGGTGGGGCCTAGTTGGGAGAAGTGGGTAACTAGGGGCACTCCTTTGCACTATATATCTTAGCCCCAGCCCTTTCCTGTTATTCTTTGTCTGCTTTCTGGCTGCCATGAGATGAGTAGATCTGTGCTACCATGTCTTCTTTGCCTGATGCTTTACCTCATCACAGGCCAAGGAACATGGAGCCAAGTGACCATGGACTAAAACCTCTGAAACTGTGAGCCAAGGTAAATCCTTCCTCCATTAGGTTGGTTTTGTCAGTTATCTTGTCACGGTGACAAAAAGTCTGACCAACACATAAACAAAGCTTTTGTATGTATCTGTATGATATATTCAAACATTTGTTTAAATATGTGAGCCTGAAGAAAAGTACAGAAGAATTTACACAAAGTTATTAAGATGCTTTACCTTGGGAGCAGGAGTGGGTGAGCACTCCTCACTGCTCACATGGGAGGGTATAAGGCTGTCCTAAGAATACACTTTGGCATGAATGAAGAGTCCTTTCATATAAATTTAAGTATGTATATGCATGTGCACATAAAGAAAATAGGGGAAAGGGGAGGAGAGCTTGTTTAATAGGGGGAAAGTTAATTACAGAATGTTAGTATGATTCTATTTTTCTCCATATATGGTCATAGACATATGTATAAGTGAAGGCAATGTAAAATTGTTATATTTGATTATAACACGGAAGCAGGTGTTGATTAACTTGTCTTTATTCATCCTCATTTTTATTTTTGATGTGCTTAAATAAGGATATATTACTTGCAAATCAAAAAGTACCAATAAGGATAATTTTAAACTGAAAATACCCCCGTTGGGATGGGGCTTCCATATCATTGCATAAAACTAAGTTTGAGTGTAGCCTGCTCCTGTTGCTCTCTCCATCCCCACTTGGGTCACTCTCCTCCTGGGCCTTTCTCTGTTTTCTAACCACACTGGCCTTGTAGGGTCCTCAATCAGACCTGATTGGTATTCCACATGCGGGATTAGTACATGTGGCTTCTTCTTTCTGGAATGCTTTCTTCTCCTATGCCTTGCCCCACTCTCTAAATTCATTCAATTACTTCCTAACAGTCCTCAGACCTTAATTTTAACACTACACTCAAAAGAAGATTTTGCTGGCCTCCCTACTTTGCCCAAATAGGTCAGTGACCCTCTTGTATGCTCTCCTTGCATCCCTGCTTCTCTCTTGTTGCATTAATACTTGCTTAGTGCCTGTGTTTCTCAACATTTGGGAAGACTCAAGAGGGTGGAGGCATACTGTTTTTTTTTTTTTTTTTATCAATACCTCTTTACATTCCAGCATGCTGACATATAGAAAGTAGTGCTTACTGACTTGACTGATATATAAAATAAAGATGTTGACTATGTTTTAATGCAAAGCTAACTGGTCTACAAGTGGTCTAGAAGGAAAAAGCAAGGGGGCAGGCTGTCAAATAGATCTGAGTGTAGATTGTGGTGCTAACGTATTAGCTGTATGATCTTGGGAAAATGGAAGCAATGCCATTCACTTCTTGGGGTTATGAGGGTTCGAACACCTGGCACCCTAGCGGTGCTTTATAAATGGGAGCAATTATTGTATAATTGTACAAATGGGAGCAATTGCAGTGACCCCTAAGTGTAGCTGAGTTAAATATACAAATCCAACTGCAAAATATATTTCAGGAGAACTTTTTATTTTCTCCTATGTATTTAAACAAACTAATACCTTTGCATAAAATATAAACCAAAATTATGATCAAGTACTAGAGGGGGGTTCTATTTTCTCACTCCCTTCCTTGTTAGAGTGAGTGTTTTCTCTTGCTCCTGGTTATTACTGAACCTAACTGGGGTTAACTGGGGTCAACTGGAGATTCGGGAAAGACACAGGATTGACAGACAGAAAGTGGGGTTGTATTGGGCACTCAGATGGGGATGCCAAACCCTCATTGCTTCTTTTCTCTATCTTTAAGGCCTTACTCCTTGCAGTTCTTGAAAACTTTCCTTCTAAGGTCTTCTTTAAAACCTTGCTTAAAACCTCTTTCCTTAGATTTGCACCATCCCGTGTTTTCTCTTAGCTGTTCCTTAGCTTAATTGCTCTTAAAGTCTTTTGCCCCCAGGCTTGCACGGTCCCATCTCTCTTTAGCTTTCTTAAAGCCTCGGTGCTCAGACTTGAAGGTGCTCAGACTTGCAACAGCCGTGCCTGAAAACTGCATATGCATAACTCTTAAAGTCTTGGCCATGTTCTCTTTGGCTTTCCTTTAGCTTAGCTTTTCTAAGGCCTATGTTAAAGTTCTCCGTGAAGGCTTTCTTCTTTAGCCATTCTTTTCCTTTCAGCAATTTCCCTTCAGCAATTCTTTTCCCTTCAGTAATTCTTTTCCCTTCCAAAAGCTTTCCACACCAAAAATCCCAAAACAAGAGCCCAAAGTGGAAAAACCCAAGCCAAAGCCCAAAGTAAAAGCCAAAGGCAAAAAGCAAAAAGCCTCAAGTCCTCCTTCAGGGCCTTTTATAAACAGTGGCAAACAGCTTGGAGCAGAGACTCTCTGGGAAGGGCGTGACATTGTAACAGGAGAAACCTGCGTTCTGCTTCTCTGAAGCAAGCTTAGAAGACGCAGTTGTTCTGCTTTTTTCTGTTTTGTGGCAGGAGCTGTGCCTATCTCAGCCTACAGATGAAAGTGATTAACCTGCATCTTGCCTTGCATATGTCCAGTTCTCATAGGTTTTTCATAATCTGCTCTCCACAAAATACATATCTAGAAAACTTGGAGCAGAATGAAAAAGTCAAATTTAGAGAAGGAAGCAAAGAGAAGAGGTTGCTTGAGACAAGGGAGAAATTAAAGGTGAGGCACTTTCCTAGGCCCTTGGTAGTACTCAGAGAGTTGTCATGTAGCAAAAGTATTTCCTCTATTTCTCTTTGTCCTTGTGTTCTCCTGAGAAATAAAAGGCCATCTGAGGGAGGGAGAGACCTTAAAGGACTCATTTTCCAAACCTCATAAAGTTATATTTGCTTCCAGAACAAACTACATAAATTTCCAGGTCTCAAAAACTGTCAGTTTTAGAGTCCCCTTGGCTCTTATTCTCTATTTGCAAATGTCTGCAAATTCCTATAAAATCAGAAGCTAACAGTATGTAAGACTACTGAACTAATGATATTCCCTACCTTAATCATACTCACTAGATGAAATTAAATCTTTTCCTTCTTCAATATGGGAATGGGTGAAGAAAAAGGGACATTGTTTAAGACAACTGAAGAAAATAGGGAAGTCTGGGTAAAGCAAAGATAAAC